CAGAAGTCGTTGATAGAAGATGATGTCAAGGGAGTTTGACGAGTTTGCGGAGGATTGGTTCAGTGGTGAGAAGAAATAAAAGCAACTGAAGATTAAAGATTATCGATGAGTAAAAAGATAGGTCGATACAATTCCACCAGGGAAGAGAGGAAAGAGAAGTCCGAGAGAGCTGCTTCCTTATACCCGAGAGAGTTGTGATAGAGGGAGGATCGAGCGGAGTTGAGTCGAAGGTTTTTGCTGGACGAAAAGAAAGGGTCTGATCGTATTATCTGAGAGCCAAAATATTTTTGAGATGATGTCATAGCCAGATGAGCCGCTAGAGTCTGAGAGGGATGTCACTCAGATGTCAACAGAAAGAAAAGCAATGACAAGTGAAATTCCAACAACATGAACTCCCTCTCCTCAGCAGCTTCTTACCTCACCAAAACTCTCCGTCTACAACAATCAACCAACTTCTCCTCAAACTGCTCAAAGTACTCTCTCGCCCATCAACTCTCAACATCATTCCCTTCCACTTTGCCCTCCAACTTTGCTTTCTCTCTTCTCTATTTCTCTTTCTATTATCAATCATCTTGCTCCTCACCCACTCACATTGACGCCGACTACAACTCATATCTTCATCTATACAGCCATCAGTGGTTCTTCTTGCGCTAACTCTCTCTCTTGACCTTCTCACTTGGCTTCTGCCAATTTGTTGAGAAAAAGACCGTATAACTTTCTTTCCTCAAAAAGGGCATTTTTATTGACTCTTGTTATTCATTGTTCTTCTTGATTTTCTTATTCATTATCTAGTGTCTACTATTTTTGCCTGTTTGATCTCATGTACTTCAGTCTTTCTATTCTGTCTAATTCAAAAAGCAACTCTCATCGTGGTAGGTTGTTATTATCTTTGGATTCTTTTATTTTCTCTTGTTATCTATTTTTGTCATTTCTAATAATTTCTTGAATATTTTTTTCTCAGTTCTAGTTCTAGTTTTGGTAATAAAACCTGTTTTTAATCAGGCAAAGGTTACCTCACACATCCCTTTCTGAACTCAGCAAAACGTTCTCACAAACACTTTTGAGCTTAACAGCGTGGGCTCCACAGTGGACTCCTCCAGTCTCACAGGGGGTGACACTCAGTAAAACCAAACTTGCACACAACATTGTAAGAGCAACTCAAATGTGGGATGTAAATTGCTGATGTAAACCTCATTTGAGCCCCAGGTGGCAGGCTCCAAAAACTCTGCCCCACTTGGGGAAGTATACCAAGAGCCAAATCAATCCAGGATGTAAAAGAAGGTCCTGGAAAGTGTAAATATGCCTCCCCCTTTTATACCACTTGCCTGAGTCTCATGATTTCAAGTTGGTCGGTTGAGGATGTGTAATCCAAACGAACCAGCCATAAACTCAGCCCTGCTTTGTGTGAAACCTGTCACTATTGATTGCTTACCTCCCAATTCACATATGATACAACACTGTTCACACCTTTTTACACCCCAGTATACCTTCCACTCGTGCAAGACCAACCAAATTCTAGCTTTGAGGATCAAATTTGGGGATGCATTGTGTGAATTTTACTATGACCACAGTTTACACATGTAGTGGAGTTGCTCTAAGGCTGGTTGAAAGATTGGCCAGTACCATAGGGCCCAAAAATTCAATTTTTGAGAATTTATCTTACTAAAATTATCATTCCATCAAAATCAAACATCACCAGAAGCCAGTCATTAGCACAGAAGTGAAGACTCTCAATTTTAGATCTTTCTACTTTGTGTCAAGTTTTGTGCAGAAGGCAGAAAGATTGCCCATTTTTCAAAATTGAATCCCATGGCACTGGACCTTATTTTAAGAGCATCATTATCGGTTCGATAAGTTGACGCGAGTTTTAACTCGCATGAATTGGCAAGTTAACTTATCGACCCCCATTCAGTCGCACCGGTGTAGTTTGCCGGGTGTGATTTGGAGTGTGGTGTGTAGTGTGGGGCGGGTGGACTCAAGTTGGAGTGATCGCACTCGCTAACTACGTTGGTAACCATTGCTACAGTTACCAACGGTTAG